TTCAAAATTATTTTTCCACTGCTAAGTTTTTCAAACTCTAATAGATTCTAGGTTTAGAAAAAAAATTTCAAACTATGTTTTTAATATTTGAAAAAGTTTTCAAAACAATGTTTTTCCAAACCACACAATTTACCCCCCCCCCCCCCCCTCCCCCCTCTTGTGTGTGAAGTCTCAAGTCCAACTCAATCTAGATACCTATATTTAAAATAGAACACCCTGTGAGAGGTACAAGCACTATAAACAAGAATATTAGGCTTATCATGCCACACTTGTTGATGATTCCTTTGAAACTTGTCATTCTACCGAGGATATCAATATTGATGATATAGTTGTCTACCACACAACTTACAAATAGTATAAGGGAATGGAAGAGATATATTTAATGTGATGGTGATCATTTTTTACCCGATGTTGAGACATATTACATGACATTCTACATTATGATTTCTAAATATGATTAATACATTATTTATTTGAATTTGATTGATCACCAATGTATATACCCTCTTTCATGTCTTTGAAAGTAGCATCATTGTTTGCTTGATTAAATCCAATTTTTTCATAATTAGTGACAATGGATATTCTTCTTTGTTACCTTGGACAACTTGAGTATTCATCTTGAATATATCCAAAACCTCTACATTTAAAACACTAGATTTTGTTGAGATTTTGTCTTTCACCACTTTTTCCTTTATCCTGATTGTCTCGACCATTTGAAGCGACATAATCCCCTGATCTCTTATCTAGTATTTTCAATACTTTATTAAATCTATTAGCTAGCCTGAGATTTCTTTCTCCTTGGTCTTCACAATCTTCATAACTATCATTGGCTCTATTATTTGGAGAATAATTTATCTTTTAACTATGAATTGCTCCCCCTTCATTGAAATTCTCCATCTTAAACAAAATAAGAACCATGGAACACACCCAAACAAAATAGGGTGACTGATCTGATGCCAATTAAAATTTTGTTTTTAAGGGGACAAATGTTGGGCACGATGTTGTGACAACTGGTCCAACGCGATAAACCAGTATAACAGTAATGAATAATATCTTAGCTTATACAAGATGATGGAGCTGAAAAGGAATAAAGAACATGAGAGATTGGTAACCTGGTACAATTAGTCTTATATCCATCTTGGAAGGAATTCTCTCCAATAAATAACACAGATGTTACATCACACATGTTGGAATATCATGTCGCACATGTTACATCAAATCATCCAAGTTAACTCTCTTCATATCCATCTTCTTTGTAGAGAAGTTCTTGAACCAAATCTTCTTTCAAGGTACATCCAACCAAATCTTCTTTGATTGAATCACATCCATATTAATTTTGGATTAATAACACAAGCTTCTACATCTTCTAAAGAAATCAACACAATAACTCTTTTAAAGGAAATCTCTGAAGATACTCATATCCCAATCCTTATGCCAAAATGTGATACACACTCACATGTTTATCTCTTCTGATTAACTACTTTTGTCAAGAATTTTAGCTACATCTTGGAAACTCTTGCTTAACTAGTTCTTTCAAGCACTTTAGTTGAAAAACTCTTACTTAACTGATTATGTCAAGCACTTTAGCTGAATCAGTATTATTCAGCAATGAATCACACTCAAATGCTAGAACACTGAAATATCTTGTTCCATATCTTGCCTAAATGACCTAATGCAACCAACCAAAAGAAACTACATTATTTAATTAGAAAGCTTCTTAATCGTGTAAGTACTTGCTTGAATATGTTTCTAAGAAGTTTTAAGAAAAACATAAAGAGTTGTAAATAGTTTTGGTGTGTGTGCGTGTGGCCTTAGTACTTCAAGACTTAACCATTTCAAATGATCAAAACATAAGATAAAACAGTAATAAGTGCATGATCAAGCTAGCTTCCACAACTTCAGTTCCTCTCATTTACTTGATTTAATTTTGTTTAGCTCTATCAACCAAAACTTTAAACACTTTGTCTTATGATTGCTTCTTGACCAACAATACTTGTGTCTTTTTCATTCTTGTTTAGTTGTCATTATCAAAACCTTTATAAGACAATATCATGCATAACAGATAAAACCACACCTCAAAATTTCTGGGTTCGACATGTAAATCTCAGGGAAAGAAAAATCTCGAGCAACCTCTCTAATGTCTAACCTAGTGGAACAAGAGTTCCTCACTTAAGTAGTATCCATCTTCAAGTTTATCACTTAAGCATACTCCCTAACCTCCATAATACATGGGTTTCTGACTTTTAAAGACAATTCCTGTAACTTTACTCGGTTTATTACCTCTACTTTGGCCTAAGATGACACATCACTATTTTCATTATTGTTTTTTAAATTGATGAAAATAATATTTGGGTTTCCTAGGTTGACCATAACTCTGAAATCTAGTGCAAACCAGAAGAAAAAAAGACGAGAGATAGATACCTTGATTCTTCATATATGTTTGAAGAAAAAAACAGATCGATGAAGGATACGGAATTTGAAGCCCATAAAGTTACGACAACACTTTGACAGATTATGGAGAACGAAGAACCAATTAACAAAGGGTATAGGAGCAAAACCCGGAAGATTGAAAATAGTATTCAGATGAAAATAAATTGTAAAAGTAGAAACCAACATCGACTCTTTATTTATACACCCTCTAGTCACTATTATAAGTCATTTTCACTTTTTGTGGTACATTTGACTATTAATATGGACTAGATATATTAACAGTCAAATGTACCACAAAAAGTGAAAATGACTTATAATAATGACCAGAGGGTGTAAGTGGGACAATTGCCAAAATCAACGACATAAAATAAAAGGAGAACCAAAACCCACAACCAATGGTCAGGGTGAAGACACATTGTGACCTTCCTTGAAGTGATGTTTCGGTGACGAGATGAGCATTAAATGTGCGTATCCCAAATTCCACCAACTCTCACTCATTTTCTCAACTAGACTCTTTCTCTTCCTAGAACATCTTCTCAATAATCTTATACCCTCAACGGAACCCTCACATGAACGGTCTCAAAGCTTCCACACCAACATTCCTTGTTTCATTACTAGCGACAAGAAATTGGAAACAACTATTTTGAGTTGGTATAATGTCCAATAAAATCGGTCCAATGAATAAGACTCAATGCAACCAAAACACTTCACTCTATTTTTTTTAGTTAATATGTCTATTTAAAAAAATATATTTGAATACATTAAAATAATCAAAATATATATGGTGTGACAAAAAGTTTAGTTTATTTTTTGAAAATCTAAGTATCATTCTTCTTTACATAGATTAGAAGCCTCGTCTTAATATATGTTTTGTCTCATAATAATTGGACACTACTACTAATACTAACAAATAAACAACTTGCAAAATAATTAAAACAGAAATAGATTCCTTCATACATACGTATAGAGAATCCAATCAACCCATCATATAAGTATTTAGTGAAGAAATATTATTGAGGACCTTTTCATCATGTTAGGTAATGAAAAGAAAGTATCTAATTACGTTGTTTAACAAAAGTGTTACATATGCACCTTACACTTTAACTTTGATGGATAACATATAATCATGGTATTTTTTATAATTAAAAATAATAGTACTATACTAATCAAAAGTAGTATTAATTTGCCGATCAATACTCACCCCAATTAATCAATCGGTAAAATCGTTCATACCTGTACCTGTCGCTTTCCCTTTCCCACATCACATGGAAAAGGTTTTGCACTTCATAAACGACATCACAAAATGCTTTTGTAAAGAAGATAAAAGATTTATTAAAAAGTAAACACGTTGTTCCTTTATTTTTCCCTTTTTATCTTTTTTTCATCACGAAAAGTGTTACAGTAAGTTCAACTCAATCAATAATTTGCTTATAAAATAGCTATTATTAGTTACTATTTCGATACATAAGACTAGCATTATGGTTTTAAATTGTATTAGCAGTTGCAGATGCAGTTGTATATATTGTGATTGAAGTCAATGCAGTTGTTGTGATACACATTATAATTGTCGTTGCAGTGTGATTTTTAATTTAGATGTATTTGAAATAATCATTGAAAAATACTTAATATAATGATTTTTGATTGCATCATAAGTAAATTGATTTTTTAGAGTTCTGAAAATTTGAGTTTTATTGAAAATACTCAAAAAAACCAAAGCAAAATTGTCTGATGTAATTAATAATACGGTCGAACGTGTGCTTTTAAATCACACTGTAATTTTGATCTGATGTAATTGTAGAGAATAGCGTTTCAGCAATATTGTCGCAACCCCAATTGCAAAACGCAATTTAAAATCTTGCTAACAATATATATATATATATATATATAACATCACATCACATCTATCTTTGAAAGTGTACAAAATGAACTACATCACATAACATTAAATTTATCAGTGTTAAATTATGGAAAAATAGAATTTCATAATAGATTTGTCATAGTTATATTATTTTATCACACTTGAATCATGATTAACGTACACATAATCTCTAAAAATTATGTAACACATGAGATCTGTCTTTGAAAGTGTGCAAAATGAACTACATCACATAACATTAAATTTATCAATGTTAAATTGTGGGAAAATAGAATTTCATAGTAGATTTGTCATAGCTAAATTATTTTATTACATTTGAATCATGATTAATCTACACATAATTTCTAAAAATGATGTAACACATATTTTCCAGCGCACTATTTTTAATTGATTATTCTTTCAAAATATTTAGAGCTCACATATTTTAATGAAAGGTAAGGTAGTAACAGGGATGTTGGACCTATTGAGCAAGTAGTCACGATGGAAGAAGTGGTGGACGTGCCCAAAATATGGAGAGTCTATCAAAGACAGCATGTAAGGATCGAATGACCAAGCATGAGTTTGTAGAAGGTTGATCTGACAGCAGACTTAGCAGCATAATTAGTTATATATAGGAATAAGGTTGCGTAAGATAATCATCTTGTAATTCTGTTATTTAAAAGAGAGTCATCTCTTGTGGGAGCCACGTACGTGGTTAGGCTAGTGGTATTTCTCTATTAATTTCTAAAAAGCATTGAAGTTTCAAAGTGTAGATTTCATAAAAACACCGGGGCACTGTGGCATCTTCTATTGTGGCTGCTTTGGGCAGAAAGTTTATCCGCATATCCCTTGGTGGATTCAAGGATGAAGCCGATATTAGAGGACATAGGAGAACATACGTCCGAAGCATGCCTGGGCGGCTTATAGATGGATTAAAGGTTAAATTACACTTTGTAAATTTTGATAATTGCATGTAATATTGTGATCTGTATGACATTCACAAATACATGTGATAAGTTATGACAGCTTTAGATTACTTTAATACATTGAAAGCCTAGATTTTCTTGTTTTTATTTGCCATTGGTTTTGTTCTTATTGAAGGAAAAGAGATGATGAAATTCATAACAGAATTATAACTGAAAAATAACAAACAAGGTAGAATAGAAAAGGAATGGATCACAAGAAATGACTATTATTGAATAATTCTCGGATAAGATACAAAGTGATAACCAATGAATATTTATACACCGTTAACACGTGTAAAATATAAAGAAATAATTACAGTCGTTGCATCAAAACAAATCTTAGCCATATATCTCAATAGCATCCTTCAAGCTGAGCATGATAGATGTCAATCATGCTAAGTTTGGAAATGAAATTGTTGAACTTGGGAGCAGCCAATGCCTTGGTCAAAAAATCAGGTAGTTGTTCTTGGGAAGGAATAGGTAGAAAGTACTCTTTGTTGAAACTTTTCTCTTACTAAGTGGCAATCAATGTCTAAATGCTTAGTCCTCTCATGAAACACAAGGTTAGAAGCAATATGAATCGCATTTTGACTATCACAATAGAGGACAGGCTGCCGTGTAGAAGAAACCTGCAAATCTCTAAACAAATGTAAAAGCCACTGTAATTCACAAGTTGCAGTGGAGAGAGCTCTGTATTCTGCCTCAGATGATGACCTGGAAATTGTTTGTTGCTTCTTGGCACGCCAGGAAGTTAATGATGAACCCAGAAAAAACAATAACCTGAAATTGATCTGCGAGAATCTATGCACCCTGCACAGTCTGAGTCAGAATAACCCAGAATTTGTATCTCAAAATTTCTAGGGTATAGGAGACCTAGGCCAGGATTGTGCTTGAGGTACCTAATGACTCTACATCTTGCATTGTAACGAGACATGGTTGGGGCATGAAGAAACTGACTTAGTTGTTGAGTGGCAAAAGTAATGGTTGGTCTTTTTGTGTTGAGGTATAGAAGCCTGCCAATAAGTCTCCTGTATGCAGCTATATCCTCATAAGGTTTTCCACGGTCCTGATGAAGTTTGATGAAGGGATCAAGAGGGGTGGTTGCAGGTTTAGAGCCTAACAGACCAGAATTGTGAAGGAGGTCAAGGCAATATTTTCTTTGAGAGATGGTGATGCCGGATTTTGAGTGTGCCACTTCTAAGCCCAAGAAATATTTCAGGACTCCTAAATCTTTAATCTTAAAATTGTGATCAAGAACAGATTTGATTCTCTGAAATTCATTGAGTGATGTACCTGCTAATATGACATCATCCACATTGCAGTAAAATCAGTAGCAGTTTTCAATGTAAAAAGTAAATAATCAGACGTGGACTGTGTATACCCTTCTTGAAGCAATAGGGATGCCAATTTTCCATACCATTTTCTGCTAAATTGTTTAAGGCCATAGATGTTTTTCATTAACTTGCAGACCTGATTAGGCTTAGTGCAAGTAACTCCATCTGGGATTGTCATATAGACATCCTCTTGTAAGTCTCCATGAAGGAATGCATTATTGACATCTAGTTGGTGTAAGTGCCAAATGTATATGGATGCTAATGCAAGCAACATCCTAATTGTGGTCAGTTTAGCTACAGGACTGAAACTGTCAAAAAAATCCAAACCCTCTATTTGATTATAGCCTTTGGCTACTAATCGTACCTTGTACCTTTCAATGGAACCATCAGCTCTATGTTTAACCTTGAAAATCCACCTATTTCCTATAGGTTTAATATGAGGAGGAATATCTACAACAGTCCAAGTGCCAAGTTTTTCAAGTGCTTCCAATTCAGTTCTTATTGTTGTTAGCTAATGCTCAGACATGCTAGCTTCTTTATAGGATTTTGGTTCAATATTATGAGTAATGGCAGCAGAAAAAACTTGTTGAGCAGGGGATAGGTTAGAAAATGAATGAAAAGAAGAAATGGGATAGAGTATATCTGGAGATGTTGATTCATTTGAATCATAAGAGGCATTGCACACATAATCTTCTAAATAAGAGGGTGGGTGTTTTTGTCTTGCAGATTTGAGAGTTTTAGGTACATTTAGGTTTGAGGTGACCTCAGTAGATGATTGTGGTGGTGTATCCAGTGGTGCAGGGATAGGTACAGAAGGTGTTAATGGTGGGCTAGTATTAGAAAGATCTGAGGAGTGAGTATGTTCAGTGGGATTCATTGGGCGGTGGTATGACCAAGATGGGGGTTTTGAGGCAGGGTTATAAGGCAATATATTATCATGATGTTTTGTATTTCTAGAGACAAAAATTTCTTTGTTATTGAGATCATAGAGTATACAACCTTTCATTCCAGGTTTGAAGCCTAGAAAAATGCATTTTCTACCTCTTTGATCAAGTTTGGTTCTATGTGATTGTAATGTGGAGGCATAAACTAAAGAACCAAAAACCTTTAAATCATGTAGGTCTGGTAATATGTTATGCATTAAGAAATAAGGAGAGGTATTGTTAAGGAGGGGGTTGGTGACTCTGTTCATAATGAACACATTATGATAAACTGCATAGCACCAGAATTGTTTGGGTAGATTGGAATGAAACAATAGAGCTCTACCTATGTTTAGAATCTGTTGGTGTTTCCTCTCCATCCTACCATTGTGTTGGGGAGATTCAACGCAACTAGTTTGATGTATTATGCCTTTAGATAGGTAAAATTGAGGCATTAAGAACTCCTGACCATTGTCAGTTCTTATGGTTTTAACAAGAGTGTTGTGTTGTGTGTGTATTAAGTGAACAAAATTCATGATATGTTGCCTAACTTCAGATTTAGATTTCATGAGTGTGAGCCAAGTATATCTACTATGACCATCAATAGCAATAAGGAAATATGAAAAACCATGAATAGATTTAATGGCAAGAGGCCCCCATATATCAAAATGTATTAGATCAAAAGGCTTTACAACTTTATTGAAACTTCTTTTGTAAGGTAAATTTCTATGTTTGGCTAGATGACATATATCACAAGCACCTTTAGGATCTACAACTGTAAAAGGAAAAATAGAATGCAGCATAGCCATTCTATAACTAGATAGGTGTCTTAGTCTAAAGTTCCACAAGGCTTGATCAGGTATAGTGATAGCATTAAGGGCAGAAATACCAGCAGCAATAGGGAGCTTCTTATTTGGCAGATTTAAGTAGTATAAGCCTTCAGTGAAATCAGCAGAACCAATCATCTTCAGTGACTGTGGATCCTGAATCAAACATTGGAAATTAGTGAACTTACCAATACAGGGCCAGTCAAGACAGAGTTTTGAAACTGAGACTAAATTCAAGGAAAATTGTGGCACATACAGTACATTGTGAATAACAAATTCAGGAGTGAAAGTGATGGTGCCTATTTGTTCGGCTATGGAAAACTTTCCATTAGGTAATCTAATATTGACAGGGCTGATATTTTTAAGGAATTGAAACCAATGAATGGATCCACATATATGGTCACTTGCTCCCGAGTCTATGATCCAAGAGTTAATAGTGGAATTATGCGGGCATAAGGAAGTGGATATGTTACCTGTATTGGCTGCTGAATTGAATGTCTTCACCTGAATCGAAGAACTTGTCTGGTTGTTGGAATTAGTAGTCTGAAGAAGTGTCATGAGTGTTTGATACTGCTCAGCAGTAAGCTGTGGTGAAGATTGGTGATCAGCATCACTAGGTGTTTCAGAACTAGAATGATCAAGATTATCAGCATTAGCGTTGTGAACATTGGAGCTGGAATGGCGTTGTAAGTGAGGAGGAACACCATGTTTACGACAACATGTGTCTAATGTGTGCCATGATTTTCCACAAAAAGTACAAATTTGCTGTCCATATTTCTTGAAAGAAGATTTTATGTTCTCAGCAGCATTGATTAAAATTTTAGAATCGTCATCAGCAGAGTTTGAAATAGGTGAAATATGGCATTCATGATTAATCACCATAGAAAGATTTTGTTTAGGGTTGGTAACGGATCAAGAAGCAGGATTTGTGATTTCACAATATTGAAATCGTCATTCAAAGAAGTCAAAACTCGTATAACGTATAGCAAATTATGATTAGATCTAGCACTACACAAAGCATCGCAAGAACAAAGAATTCGACAAGTACAGTGAGGTATATGCATATACATTTCCAATTCTTCCCAAAGCATCTTGAGTTGAGAGAAGAATTATGTTACCGTTGGATTGTCTTGCTTCAAAGAATAGATTTCTTGTTTCAATTCAGATATGCGGATCAAATCACCTTGTGCAAATCACTCTTTCAAGTCATTCCAAACATCAATGATGTGGCATTCTCCAGGAATATGATTGATTGACCAATGGATTCTGAGACGGAACGCATGATTCAAGAGTGCGCCAGCATGTTGCAGCGAGTCCAAGCACGAAAGGATGGTTCAAAAGGATCCGTAGGTACAGGAATCATGCCATCTACAAAATCAAATTTCATCTTCCCACCGAGAGCTCTGTGCATTGACGGCGCCCAGCTGTGGTAGTTTGAACCATTAAGAACCGACGTGATGAAGATAGAGGAAGGACCGTCGCTGGGATGAACATAGTAAGGGCTTGTTGGATCCGAAATTGGATCGGAAGAACCGAAGTTGCTGGAGTTGGTGGTGTTGCACAGAGGAGCCATGGATTTATAGGCTCAATAATACCATATCGAAGGAAAAGAGATGATGGAATTCATAACAGAATTGTAAAAGGAATAGATCACAAGGAATATTATTATTGAATCATTATTGGATAAGATACAAAGTGATAATCAATGAGTATTTATACATGTAAAATATAAAGAACTAATTACAGCAGTTGGATCAAAACAAATCTCATCCATATATCTCAATAGTTCTAGTGGATGAAACGAGAGATAGCTAATGTTGGGAACTTGAGATAATTCTAGATTCCAAATGCTTTATGTTTGTATAACTGTATATGGAAAATACTGATCCAACGATACTAAAAGAAGTAATCAAATTGTATGAGGAACTGTGGACTGGATTAAAATGAGAGAGTATCAAATTTGAGTTATGCGCTACAGTAACCGATTGATTGAACAGAACTGGGAGTTATCAAAACATGTGTTAATATATTTCCAAATTGTAAACTAAAGCAACAAATGCAAATTAGTCTAGTAGTTCAATCTTGTTATGCGATCTCTAGAGTCTGGGTTCGTTTGTGAGTGTTAAGGAATTAAAAAGAGTATTTTATCTTAATTTTATTAATTTTGTGATAGAGAGTTATTAGTTTATTTAATATTTTATATTAGCTGTTGTTTTGTAATGTTTCTAGAATTTTTTTAGTCTTTAATATTGTGTCAGATAAATGATTCTGATATATTTAGAATTTTATATGTTGAAGTGTAATGTGTTATTTGAAAAACAATCAATGAAATCAAAAGTTATCTTTTATCTTTATTTTCTTAAATAGTTTTTATTGTCTTGTAAATTTAAAACTTTTATGAGTTTGGTTATGGTTCTTATTTCAGCATCTTAAGAATTGGTGCTTTCATTCTTGAACATCAAAACCTCCTATGACATATTCATCTCCCTCATCTTTCACTTCTCTATTTTATCTTTATCATCCCAACACCACCACTATTACACCCTCATTCCATTCTTTTCCATGGGAAAGTTTTCCATCTTATTCTCCTAACATCCCTTTTACTACCCCCATCACAAAATTTCTTCTATAACCATGGATACACACACCACATCAACAACCACCTTTCACCTTCACTTATCCTTATCATTCCATTGTCACACCCATAACACCTTCATCACCTAATCAGCTCACAATATATGCATTTCCTTTTAACCCAAACATTCATGGTTATCAAAGCTTCTACAACAACTACTAACAGCAACCTTATCAGAATCTTACAAAATCATTTCAACTTCAAGAAGATTTTCAAAAACGTTTTCTAGAATTATCTTAGGCAGAAGAAAAATACATTAATAATAAGAGAGTTATTGATGAGCAAATTAGACCCTCACAACTTGCTTTCAAAAAAACATCTCAAAATCTTTCTGATTCATTCAAAAAGTCACAATAAAAATTGAAAGAAAAAATGTTCATAGAACTACGGAAAAATAGATAGAGAAAAAAAAAGAAGTAGAAAATTCTAATTCACTGAGATTTAGCAATAGTTTCGGCTTCTTCTTCGACAACATTCACGGTGTCATCTCCAACATCAATCCTGGCGTCTTCTATGATGACTTTTTTTACTCTGAAAACTTATTATGATTTATGTGATTAGGACCTAATAAACTTGAATTATAATAGGAAGGCATAGCCCTTTATATACAAGGAGAAAGCTTGTGGTGCAAGCAAAGTAGAAATAACTAACTTGCCCTATATAATTGGATCACCCTAATTATCCATAACAATCGAAATAGAAAATAAGGTTTAATACCCCCTTTCAAGCTGGAGCGAAGTTGACTGAGGCCAAGCTTGGAAAGAATGAGATTGAAGGGATGGGGATCAGGGGGTTTGGTTAGAATATCAGCGAGTTGAGATAAACTAGGGACGGGTAATAGTTGGAATAATTTATCGAGTAATTTCTCACGAATGACGTGACAATCAATTTCAATATGTTTCGTGTATTCATGGAAGATTGCGTTGGATGCAATGTGTCTAGCAGATTGATTGTTGCAATACAATATAGTTGGAGTGATGAAGTTGACATGCAGATCCTTAAGTAAATAAGCGAGCCATTGTATTTTACAGACTGTGGAAGCTAGGGCACAATATTCTGCCTCAAAGGAAGAGCCAGAAATAGTTTGTTGTTTGTTGGATTTCCATTAGATTAGAGATTCTCCGAGGAAAATACAAAAGTCGGTGATGGAGCATCTGGTGTTATTACAAGATGCCCAGTCAAAGTCATTAAAGGCTTTGAGCTTTAGTGTAGAAGAAGAAGAGTAGAACAGTCCTTGGGACGGGGATTGTTTGATGTATCGTAAAATCTTGTACGCAACTTGGATATAGAGAGACGTAAGAGATGACATAATTGACTTAGTTGTTGAACACTGAAACTCAAGTCAGGGCGAGTGGTGCATAGATAAATTAAGCAGTCGATGAGTCTTCAAAAAGAGGTTGTATTAGTTGGTGGAGAGTTATCATATTTGTTGTATTTGTGAGTTTTTGTCATTGGAGTGAGACAAGGTTTAAAAGCAAGGAGACACGTGTCTTGTAACAACTCAAGAGCATATTTGCATTGACAAACAAAGATGCCTTTAGATGAACAAATAACTTTGAGGCCAAGGAATAAATTAATGTCCCCAAGGTCTTTAATTTTGAAATGGGTGTCAAGAATGTGTTTAAGTCTGTCTATTTCATCAATGTCATTTTCAAACAGAATGAGATCATCAACATAAATGAGGAGAATGATGCACTTTCCAGCATTAAAATGGGTGAAGAGAGAATGGTCAGAGGCAATTTGCTTGTACTACAAGGAAAAGAGTAATGAAGAGATTTTGGAGAAGCACTGTCTACTAGCCTGTTTTAGCCCATAAAGGGACTTCTAAAGTTTGTAAACAAGGGTGGGATCAGATGGATTTAAGCCATGGGAGGTGTCATGTAGACATCTTCATCGAGTTCTTCATGCAGAAAAGTGTTATTAACATCGAGTTGGACAAGATGCCAGTTCTGAGAAGCAACAATGGCTAAGAGGAGACGCACAATTATCATTTTGGAAACAGGGGAGAAAGTTTCTATGTAATGAATTCCTTCAGTCTATGTATATCCTTTTGCAATGAGTCGTGCTTTGTGTCTTTCAATCATTCCACCAGCATTGCGTTTGATTTTATATATCCATTTGCAGCCTATAGTTTTCTTGTTAGGAGGTAAATGAGTCATGATCCACGCGTTGTTATGTTGAAGAGCTTGAAGTTCAACAAGCATGGCTTTATTCCAACAATCGTGTTTGGAAGCTTATTTGAATATGGTGGGTTCAATTTCAGTAATGATAGATTGAAGATAATGAGATGAATCAGGTGAAAGATGATTGATGTTGGTGTAATTATGGATAGGATAAAGTGTTGAGGGTTTTGATTGATGTTGAGAAGAAGAAAGTGTGTTGCAAAAGAAAACTGCAAGGTGTTTAGGTTTATGAGTTATACGGTTTGATACGCGTGTATGGGAAAATAGTGTAGGTGGAGGAATGTTGTTGTCAAGAGATAGTGGATTAGTGGAAGTGGTTGTATCAAGGGGTGGTGTAGGGGAAGAGGAATTTATAGGTGTATGTGATGAGGAAGTGTCGGGTTTGGATGGTGTAGATTGATGTAGGTGGGTTTGGATGGTGTAGATTGATGTAGGTGTTCATCAGGTGTGTCCAAAAAGAGAAGGTTGTAGTCAAGGATTTTGGATTGTTTAGGAGATTTAATGTTGGAAGCAGAGGCAAAAGGAAAGACATGTTCATAAAAAGAGACATTGCGGTTTATGGAAATCTCATGTGTGGCTATATTGATGACAATAAAACCTTTGATATCTTGTTTGTAACCAAGGAAGATGCACTTAGAAGCACGAGGGTCTAATTTTTGCCGTCCTTGCATGATTGTTGATGCAAAATCAAGGTAGCCAAAGATTTTTATGTTATTGTAGTCTGGTATTCATGTAAAAACTCATAAGGAGATTTGGCAAGAGTGATTGGAGAAAGGAGTTTGTTGATGAGAAAGACTGCATGATAGACGTCAAAATTCCAGAACATTTTGGGGAGGTGTAGGTTAAACATGGTAGCTTGACCAACATTTAAAATGTGCCTATGTTTTTGTTCAACCACTGCATTTTGTTGTGGTGTTTCAATGCATGTCCGTTGATGCATTTTATTTAAGTGTCAAACAAACATCAAAACTTAGCAAGCAAAGATGAAGTGAAGCAACCAAGGTAAAGACATACATAAGTCAGCAACTATACCTTAAGAGGCTTATACAAGTGTGTCTCAAAGGGGGAAAAGATCACACAAGGATCATACAAAGAAGACAAGCAAACAAGTACTTGAGGAAATAAAGAAGAAAGGCAAGCAAGAAATGATTGATCAAACAAGAAGGTATGTTATGAAAGTATATCAAACAACTCAAAGCTACTGCCCCCTAACATGTTAGGTGCCTAACCAAAGCCTAAACAAGGCGTCATTGGTCAAGAAGAAGATGAAATCACCTAACTAGGAAAATAGAAGTGCAATTAATCATTTAGAAGACATGACTTTGAACAATGTTAAAAGCATCAAACAAATAAGAGGAAAGAATGGACATCTAAGTTTAAATATGCTTTGAAGGCATCATAAATCATCACCAAGAGGTTACATGTTAACAATCAATATCTAATTAACCAAACATGCATGGTGAAAGAAGATGAAATTCAAACAAGTGGCAAGAATTGACCTAAGTCTAAGGCAAGTAGTAAACATACAAAGGGAAGCAACATTGGATCAAGGTAAACATTATGACATTTCAAAGGATTTCCTAAGGGTCATGCACAAGAGGTAAGGACTTACAAGTCACAAGAGAAGTCGCACATGTAAGCACACTAGCTAGTGAAGACTTATGTGTCAAGTGTCTAACTTATCATGGCATAAAGAAGTGAGGTGAAGTGAAGTGAAATAGATAAATAAGTGTACAAGTCAGAAGTGAAAACATCAAGGACTCATCATCATCATACAAGTATGCTTGAGAAAGAATCACAATCAAATCATACAAGCAAAAGCAATTAAGCAACCCTAAGTGGACATAAGTCCTCATGCAATGCTATCAAGTGAAACAAATTGAAAGAGAAGGTACATGTGATAAGAGAGAAGCAAACATAGACATGTCATTCATTTAGCACAAGTTTCATGATCAAGAAGAAGTTCAATTGGGCATTGAATCATGGTATAAGCATCAAATCACATAAGCATCAAGCAAAGGCGTGTAGTGAAGTGAATACAAGTGTATGAGAAATTAGACATGGCATCACAAGGCAAGCAATGTAACAATATCAAAGCAATGGTAACAACCACAAGTAAGTCTCGCACACTTAATAAAGCATCAAGACAACAATTGGACAAGTGCATTCACAAAAAATCATTGCCTACTTCAAGGTAGGTCTTCCAGTAATCATAAATTTCCTACTTTGAGGTAGGACTTTAAACAATCAGAAATTGTCTACTTCGAGCTAGGTCTTTAAACAATCAGAAATTACCTACTTTGAGGTAGGTCTTTAAACAATCAAAAATTGCCTACTTCGATGTAGGACTTTAAATGCAACTACACTATGCCACAAACATGGTTTCGCAATGCCTACAGGGGTAGGTCTTCAGTCATGTATCTCTATCCTACTTTTCATGTTAAGAATGATCGAAAATGATGCTTAAATGAGAGAGTAAAGAAAGCTCAAGTGATACCTAACTGAGAAGGTCTGTTGCCTCTTCCAAGTCACGCAAACGATAAGAAAACTCTACATAAAGCTTCCTTGATAAAGGACCAATCACAAAGCTTGCAAATCGCATGAACGTTCAATGAAACATAAAGCATATTCTTATCAAGCTTAGGTGAGGAGAATTCATAAAATGTTGCACCAGCATAAACCGAAATTGCCTACTTCACGGTAAGACTTTAAATAAACAGAAATCGCTTACTTCAAGGTAGGTCTTTAAACAAACAAAAATCACATGCTTCAAGGTAGGTTTTTAAATAAACATAAATCTTCTACTTTAAGGTAGGTCTTTAAATAAACAGAAATTTCCTACTTCAAGGTAGGTCTTTAAATAAACAGAAATCGCCTACTTTAAGGTAGGACTTTAAATAAACAGAAATCGCCTACTTCAAGGCAGGTCTTTAAATAAACAAAAATTGCCTACTTCAAGGTAGGTCTTTAAATTAACAAAAATCGCATACTTCAAGGTAGGTCTTTAAATAAACAGAAATCGTATACTTCAAGGTAGGACTTTAAATAAACATAAATTGTCTACTTTGATGTAGGACTTCAGATGCAACTACGTTATATGCTTCTAACAAGTAATGAAAATCTAGCAAGATACGTGATAAAAGAGATTTCAGTGGTACCTAACAGAGAAATGGTCTGTTTCTTCTTCAACACGCGCAAAATAGCTCTGGAAATATGTCAGAAGCATCACCAATGATCGACCAATTTTACCCTCAAGCGTTCGATATCACAAATCAACCTCTTATCACGGACTCATGGCAATAAAGTAACAACAAATTAATTATTAATATGAAAAGAATAATTAGAAACTTCAATTAAATTTTAAAGAAAAAGACTAAAATAAATTCCAAAATATTCTACATATTTTTATGTCATTTTTATCATCCAAAACTAATATCAAAAAATTATGAAAATACTATGGAAAGAAAATTTAAATCTAAAGCAGAGAGAGAGGTGAATTTATCAGGATGTGTGATCAACATTTAAAATGGCACAATGGCCCAATCAAATTTAAGTCCAATTCAAAATTCCCAATCCACTTCCAATTCCAGCTTATTTTCAATTATTATCAAAAGAAAATAAAAGAGAGAAAACAGAAAATCAACAAAACGCTGAAGTATTGTTGTGATAAGGTTAAAAGAGAGTGACCGTTTGGCTTCCACCCTCAAGTACGACTTCGCGTTCGTCTTCTTCCAGAGAACATAGCGGCGTTCTTCTTCGCCGATCCCGCTCCGTCAGTCCGATTCAGCCTCGCCATCTTCCTCTGATTCCGCTCAAAGCTCTGCCGATTCGCTTCAGCTTTCTTCGATCCGACGCTTAATCCTAACATCTGGCCGCCACAAACCAATACCAGTCGCGGCTTCCTTTCCTCTTCGTCTTGTTTTGTCGCATCCTTGTGCCGTGAACAAAACCTCAATCTTCTTTCTAAAAATAACGGCAGCCGTATCTTTCTCTTCTCCGTCAGCTTCGTACTTTGCTCATCAGGTACGACTTTGTTGTGCGTTAGAGTCGTGTTTTGTGATGATGTTGCTTGTTCTGTGTTGATTATTATGATGGATGCAGATTCGTTGATGAAGATATTGTGCTGAATCGATGTGGTTTGTTGAAGGAGCTGAGAGCAGAGAATATTTGAAGTTGATGATGAAGAAGGACGGTTATGGTTCAGTTGCAGAGAAGCTGAAATCGACTGAAGTTGCGGATTGATGTATTGAAAAATTATTGATGAAGATGAATGAAGGTTTGAGAGAGGTATCAGATTTTTTTGTGAGTTTCTGTTTTGAATTTTTTAGAACGAAATCATGTTATCCTTCTTCTGAGTTTTTCTGTGAATTTGTATTTTTCTTTGTGAGTTCAGAAAGAGAGAGAGGAGTGTTTTGTGTGATTCTCTCTGTATTTTGCTTTCAATCGCGTTCTCCTTTTCTGTAAACCGATTGGTCTGCTATATAGCAATTTGAGAGTGTGAAAAAGTTTGTTACAGATTCAACTACTCTTGGCCCTAGGATAAAAAAATTCTATGATAAATGGAAAGCTGAGATTAAGTCTTGTGAATAAGTTTACACATGGTTTCGGTTAGAAAAGGGAGCAAAATACTTTTATATAACTTGTTATAAAATAGAATATAATTTTGATCTTTATATAAATTTAAAACTTCTATTATTTTAGGAAAGCAAATAATATTAGTAAATGTTATTATAAACTATTATTTCTTGGTCTTCCAATTACAATAGATTTTTAACTTTTTCACTAACTTATTAATAAAAATCCACTATTTATAACATTAAAGTTTATTCAACAAAACTCCTCTGTAAACTTAAATATTTCTTCTATCCATCATGTCTATTAATTTCTTGGCTCTGTTGAAAAAAAAATTGATAATGGTTTTGTGAAAATATCTGTTGTTTGATCCTTGGTTGCTACAGACTTCAATTCGATACTTCATTCCTTCACATGTTCTCGAATGAAGTGGAAGCGAATGTCAATGTGTTTGCTTCTTTCATGGTTTACTGGATTCTTCGCCAACTCGATTGTTGATTTATTGTCCACTTGTATTACAGTTGCACCTTCCTGTTTTAGCTCCATTTTGCTCATCAATCTTCTAAGCCATACTGCATGACAAACGCACCAAGATGCTGCCACATATTCAGCTTCACATGTCGAAAGTGTTACTATCGGTTGCTTTTTAGAAAGTCAAGTAAATGTGGTGTTTCCCATGAAGAACACATATCCAGAAGTGTTTTTTTGATCGTCTATATATCTGCACCAATCACTGTCAGAGTAACCAACTAACTTGTAGTCTTCTGTTCTTGAATAGAATATTTCAAATGACAATGTTCCTTGGATGTAACTTAGGATTTGTTTCAATGCCTTCCAATGTGAATGTACTGACTCTTCCATGAATCGACTTACAATGTCGACACTTAATGAAATGTTTGGCCTTGTGCATGTGAGATAGCGAAGACTACCTACCAAGCTTTGATATTTGCTTACTTCGACACGTTCTCCTCTATCCAATTTCAACAATTTTGCACCTGGTTCCATTGGCGTCGAAGTTGGATTACAACTTTTCAGCTTATATTTTTTCAAGATTTCTTTTGCATATTTTTCCTGTGAAATAAAGATTCCAGTTTCTTCTTGTCGAACCTCCATACCAAGAAAGAATCTCATCAGACCTAAATCTGTCATTTTAAATTCGCGTGTCATGGTGCTCTTGAATTCTTCTATCATTTGATCATCACTGCCTAGAAAAATAAGGTCATTGACATAGAGAGCAACAAGTAATACATTACTTCCATTTTTCTTCACATAGAGGGCATGTTCATACGGACATTGCTCGAACCCATTCTCCTTGAAATATGTGTCGATGCGTGTGTTCCATGCCCGCGGTGCTTGCTTCAGCCCATATAGCGCTTTCTTCAATTTCAGCACCTTCTTCTCTTCTCCAATCCTCATATACCAAGTGGTTGTTCGACATAGACTTCTTCTTTGAGTACACCATCAAAAATGTTGTCTTGACATCCATTTGAATTATCGACCATTTGAATTGAGCAGCTTGAGAAATGAGCAATCGAATTGTCTCCATTCTTACAACAGGTGCAAACACTTTGTCATAGTCAATTCTCACTTTCTATTTGTATCCCTTCGCAACAAGTCGCGCTTTGTATCATTCTATTTTTCCTTGAGCGTTCATCTTTTTCTTGAAAACCCACTTTACACCAATGGGTCGACTACCTTTTGGCAATTCGACTAGCTCCCAAGTGTTGTTGCGGTCAATAGCTTTAATCTCTTCGTCCATGGCACTTTTTCACTTCTTGTCTCGTAACGATTCTTCGAAACTGATGTTTTCAGCATCTTCCAGAAGGCACACAAGGTGTACCTCATTTGTCGAATCATATAAATCTTGCAAACTTCGCATTCTGGATTGTAGAGGTTCATCTTCATTTTCAGTATCTTCATGTTCTGTTGAAATGCTTGTTGGTATAGCGACATCTGATTCTTCGACTGCGTCGATAACTTCTGTCGAATAATTCCAGTTCCACTTGTTCGCTTCGTTTATTTGAACGTCTCTACTCATGATCACTTTCTTGCTTATGGGGTCAAATAGCTTGTACCCTTTTGTCTTCTCATCATATCCAATGAATATATACTTTTGACTTTTGTCTTCAAGTTTCGTTCTTCGTTGATCTGGTACATGTGCATAAGATACACTACCAAATACTTTGAGATGAGAAACTGTTGGCTTCTGTCCGCTCCATGCATGTGGTGTTTGATCTTCTAACTTCGAATGTGGACATCGATTCTGAACATAAACAACACATTGTACAACTTCTGCCCAGAATTCTTTCGATATATTCTTGCTCTTAAGAATTGATCAAATCATGTCAAGAACAGTTCGATTCTTTCTTTCAGCCACACCATTTTGTTGAGGTGAATATGGTGCAGTTAAGAATCTCCTTATGCCCTACTCTTCATAATACTTCATAAAGGTCGTCGAAGTGTACTCACCACCTCTGTCAGATCGAACTGCTTTGATATGTTTGTCGGTTTCCTTCTCCACCACTACTTTGAACCTTTTGAACACCTCTAATGCTTCAGACTTTTCTTTCAAGAAATAAACCCAGGTGTGATCGGTGGAAATAGAACTGACTGTTTTGAAATACTGGTTCGCGAAATGTCGCGGTAAGCAAGAGTCGCCACCGTCTTTTATATTCTCCAACAAGGAAAGGACAAAAGCACAGCAAAAGTCCTTTTCGAGATATTTCTCGGTTCGGGAGGTAGATTATAGAAAGGGAAGGTGTTAGCACCCTTTCTATCAGTGGTTATCCACGGGCTCTTAGGTACTTGCTCACTATGTTTTCAAAAATTGTTTGCTTTTCTTGTGTTTGTGGGTTTTGAAAAAAGTTTGTTTTGAAAACTTCTAGGTAACTCTTGTATCAGTCCTCAAGAGTGTATGAAGTGTTTGTTTGAAAACTTTTGTTTGAAAGTGTGAGTGCGAAAAGTTTGTTTTGTTTTTGAAAGAGCAAGTACTCAGGAGAAATCTACCTACTCTAAGGAATTAAGCTGTGTAAATATCCTTTAGACAGTACTATCCCCACTATTGAGAAGTAGGTAGCACCGTCGTTGGAGTTATTCGGGTCAATTCGATTATAGGGACATGCGTGGTCACCAAAGCAATAGTAGGACGCCTTAGCGGTAACCCTAATGTCCTAGATCCCTTTTATCCGAGGCAACCGTTTCGAGGCAACTGGATCTTTAGACAGGAGGGCGACCTCTAAAACACCATATACTCAATGACCACGTCGAGGCAACCAAGTGAGGCGTACCCTAGGAGTTGCATGTGCGAGTGTGTCAGGTTTCAATTTAATTATCTTTGCACAGGTTATGGTGAGCTACGGGTTGATTTTAATTTTCAGGCAAATCTTGTCATGCATAGTTAACAGTTAATAATTTGCGGAAAGTAAATTGCGGAAAGTAAATCTACGCTATTACAAGGCGTCGGGTATTTACATCGCCAAAAACATAACCCTTGGAAAGATAAATGCGGGAAAATAAAGAAAGCGGTGAAAAGATCCTAATTACGCTATTACATTCTCGGAGCAATTACATAAATATGATCAAAAATTAATATGCGCGAATAAAAGTTGAATCAGGAAAAGCTTTTAGGGTTTTGACCCTTTTTTTTTAGAAAAGAATGGAATTTTGGTCCTTTTTGCATTTAATTAAACCTAATTCTAATTAATTAATTAATTACAAGAAAAAGTATTTTTATGTTTTTTATGTTTTAATGAAAATAAAAATAAAAGAAATTAAAAGCTGGCAAAACCCTAATTCTATGCTAATTTTATTTATTGTGAAAAAAAGTCAAATTTAACCTAATTAAACTAATTAATTATATTTAGAATTTATTTACAAAAAATAATTAATAGTGAAATTAATAAATGATAAAAATAAATAATATTTTAGGTTTCTGAATTTATAATGAAAACAATTAATTTGTTAATTAAATACTAATAATAATAATAATAATTAATGAAAAGATTAAATGGAAATTAAAAAAGAAAAGAATAAAGAAACCAGGGGGTGCTGGGCTTTTTTGGAGGTTTGGAAGTAATTTTCAAGCCCATTTGTTTCAAGCTTGCCTTGACTTTTTGGATCATCTACGCGTGGGTTGACCAGGGGTACCATGATCACCATCTCCTGACCATTGGATTTGAGCTTGTGGCCACTTGGCGCGTTGGTAAGTGAGGCACACGGTGAATCACGCTGGGAAGTCTGCATGCAATTATGTTAGAAAAAATAGAAACAATTATTTGGGGGACCTGGGATTCGAACCCAGGTCCCAATGATCAATACACTAATGCCTTGGCCATCTGAGCTGCACGTTTTAGTCATTAATAATATATGAAGCAATTATTATATTAGGTAATTAATTCACACGTTGTACAAAAGCAAAACCACGCGCGCGTTTTAAATGATCCAACCATGACTCAACACGTCACCGTCTTCTTCCTCGTGCCTGTAAAATAACATGTTAGGTAGCGGGGGTTTTTAACCCCCACAAACTGTAACAAGGAAAAATAGCGATTAGCCCTAGGATGAATATAAATATTTCGCGAGGGTTCCACTAGGTTCGTCTTGTTCTGACGGTCTCAACCATATACATTAGGGGTCTCAATTTTGCCTGGTTACTGAATCCCCAAATTCAAAGCTTGGAAACCCTAGATTTCATCAATGGCGTTTCATGATTCTGGGCATTATAATGCAATTAACCTGTACCATTAGCTTCATGGGAGTTCTAGCAATGCAAAACACACAGAAAATCACGTTAGTGATGCATGAACCATGAGTTACGATTCTGAAAAAAGTGGACAAACCGTGATTCTGTTTCTTTGGATTCTTTGAGCTTTAGCACTTGGTTTTGATTCCTACACGTTCCTGGTAACCCCTGCAATGTATTAGAAACAATAAAAGCCTTTGAATCACGTTAGAATATGGAAATCAGTTTTGCAATTTTCTTGAAAAAATTCAATATGGCTATGGCTTTATTTGCAGCAATTTCACGTCCAATGCATTAGGGTTGGCTTGTGTACTTATAGAGGAAGAGAATTAGGTTAAATCCCTGGGCAAAGATCCATGAAATAATGGTTTGAATATTTGATTTGCAATCATATATTTTTGAATCTTTTTTATTAGAAAAACTTGCCAAACTTGGAGATTCTTGTACCTTTGATTTGCACACGAATTTCCAGCATATCTTGAGCTTGTTTGCTTCACAAAAAGATTGAAAAACCATATCTTTGAATTTCCTACAATTTAAATTAATTAAATGAATTAAAAATCAATTAAAAATCCAATTAATTAATAAAAATAAGAAAATAAACTCAAATAGGCTTGATGGGTCATGCATAAGCCATGGATAAAGTTTCAAGAAGAAATTTGAGGCCCATTAGCAAAAACAAAGTGTTTTGAGCAAAGTTGATTTTTGCAAATTCACAAAAATTTCCCAACTTCTCCAATGCATATCTTGCTCAATTTTGATCATATGAACATGTTCTTGGACATTTTGGAAAGGTCTTGAAGTCCTCTAACCA